ACAGACTCGGATTAGGGAATTTGAGTGTAAGCTCTATCGGGGTGGCCTTGGACATATCACCAGTAGGGAAGTGAAGACGTGAGTTAGAGGAAGAAGTTGAACTGCTAACAGTCTCAACAGAGGCCTCAGCCTTACCCAAGGGGAGCTCTGTAACTGACATGGCCCTGTAGAGGTATCCCAAATTAAAACAAGGAGGGTGGGACCTTTCTACCCCAAATCAATTCAACATTGGATGGCTACTTCCAGGAGAGAACTTGGGCGACACAACTTCCTCAACTGAGAGCAATTCCAAGGGAAACAGACAGTGGAGGGCTGAAAATTTTCTTCAGCGCCCTCTCACCTGAGTCGGGGTCTTACTCTGTTGCCCAGGCTGGAGTGCAGTGGCACACTGATAGCTCACCGCAGCCTCCGCCTCCTGGCCTCAGGCAATCCTTCCACCTCAGCCTCCCCAGTAGCTGGGACTACAGAGGCAAACCACCATGCCTGGCTAATTTCTTATTTTTTGTAGAGACAAGGTCTGGCTGATCTCGAACTCTTGGACTCAAGCAATCCTCCTGCCTTGGCCTCCCAAAGTGCTGGGATTACAGGCATGTAATCTTTTTCTACACACTCATAGCCCTCAAACTCCTGGGCTTAAGCAGTGCTCCTGCCTCAGCATCCCCAGTAGCTGAGACTGCTGGGGTGCCACCACATCTGACTAATGTTTAAAATTTTTAACTTTGTAGAGATGGAGTCTGGCTATGTTGCCCAGTTGGGTCTCCAACTTCTGACCAGAAGTGATTCTCCCCACTTGGCGTTCAAAGTGCGAAGATTACAGGGATAAGACACTCCCTCACCTCAGTTCTTTGGTTTAAAATGCCATCTATACATGCCACCTCTTTTATGTATAATTTATATCTCCAGCCCCAAACTTATCTATTTTCTCTAGAATATAAGCTTCATGAGAGCACTTTGTTGTATTTGTGACTGTATCCCCAGAGCACAGAATGATGCTGACACCTGACTGGCCCACTAATGTATGCTGAAAGAAAGGCAGCCACCCTGAACAGAAAGTCCTCTAATCCACCCTTCCTTGATAGACCTGAAACATGTGATAGGTTTTGACAGGGTGGAATTCTTTCAGAAGTCATCTTATTCATGCTTAAATGACTGCCATTTTTTTAAAATAAAAAGATTGACTCTATTTAAAAGTATTTAAAATGATACAAGTGGCCAGGCTTGGTGGCTCAGCCTGTAATCCCAGCACTTTGAGAGGCTGAGGCGAGTGGATTGCCTGAGCCCGCAGGTTCAAGACCCACCCAGGCAACTTGGTGAGACCTTGTCTCTACAATAAATCAAAAATTAGTCAGGCGTGGTAGGGGGTGCCTGTAGTTCCGGCTACTTGGAAAGCTGAGGCAGAAGGTTCACCAGGGCCCAGCAGGTTGAGGCTGCGGTGACTGGAAGCATGCCACTGCACTCCAGTCTGGGTGACAGAGAGACTCCAACTCAAAAAATAAAATAAAATAAGATGATACAAGTACTTCAGCTGTGCAAAACAAAATAATTAGAATTGAAATTCATGAAAGTATGTTTATAATTTTAAAAAATGATAAACTACATCTTGGTTGGTTTAAAAGTTGCCTTAATTAATCAAGTTATGTATCTAGCCTTTGCTTACCAGATTATACTTCTGGTCTATACCTCTATTATTATACATGTCTATAATATATATAGACTCTGTATTTTAGGGAGGAAAAGCTGGAAGATAAGTGAATACACAAGAACAGCAGAAGGGAGGAGGGTGAGAGAGACAGCAACCATTGCAAACTGATTTTGCAAGCAGGCTGCTTACATGTTACTGGCCAGAAGCTACCAAGCTCCCTGGAATTTCTGTTAAAAGGGAGTAAATTGGTGTTTGTTGAGAGTTTGCTGGTATTAAGACTTCACGTAATTTTTCTGTTTCTGATTTCCACCAAAGCTCTTTGTGGCAGATACCAGAACCAACTTCATTTTACATATGAGCAAACTAAGACTTAGGAGGACAAGCTTAGTGGGGTGGGGGAGGAGCTGGAATTCAAACTCAAGTCTGTCTTAAATCTAGGCCCATGTTCCTTTCTTTAACCTATGGGCCAGAGGCCATTGTCAAGTACTGCTAACACCTTAAAGTAACCAGTATCAACCACTCACATAAATGACCTTTTTATTAACAAGTTTAAGTCACTCAAATCCAACACAAAGCCGGGCTCAGTGGCTCAGCCTATAATCCCGTGCTTTGAGAGGCTGAGGTGAGTGGATTGCCTGAGCCCGTGGCTTCAAGACCCGCCTGGGCAACTTAGCGAGCCCTCATCTCTACAATAAATCAAAAAATTAGCCGGGTGTGGTAGCGCACGCCTGTAGTTCCGGCTACTTAGAAGGCTGAGGGGGAAGGATGGCCAGAGTCCAACAGGTCGAGGCTGCGGTGGCCGGGAGCGGCCACTACACCCCAGTCTGGGTGACAGAGTGAGACTCCAACTCAAAAAAAAAAAAATCCAACACAAATAATTACTGAGCACTTTCTGTGTGTCAGGCACTATTCTGAGAACTGGAGATATAACAGTGAACAAGACAATCTTTGCATTTATGTGAGGGTGACTTATCAGGCACAGATATAAATGAAGATCACTGTCAATTACAATGAAGGATGGGAAAGAAACAGTAACTAGACAGACTGGTGGGATGGAGTGAGGGGTGTGCTACTTTAAATTGCCTGCCTCTGGAAAGACCTCTTCTCTTCTGAGGAGGTGATCACTGAGCTGAGGCCAGGAGGATGGGAAGGAGCCAGCCAGAGAGCTTGGGGCAAAGCATTCCAGGTGGAGGGAACAGCAAGGGCAAAGGCTCTGAGGTGGGTGTTGCCTCTTTGCCTCTGCCTCCCAAAGTGCTGGCATTACCGGAATGAGCCATTGTGCCCAGCTGTGTTTATTTTTTACTAGAGATGGGATCTTGCTATTTTGCCCAGACTGGGCTTGAATTTCTGAATTCAAGCGATCCACTGGCCTCAGCCTCTTGAGTTACCTGGGTCTACAGGTGCATGCTGCTGCACCCAGCTACTGGTCGCTATTTAAATTTACTTTAAATAAACTGGGCGCAGTGGCTCATGCCTGTAATCCTAGCACTTTGGGAGGCCAAGGCAAGAGGATTGCTTGAGCCCAGGAGTTTGATCCAGCCTGGGCAATAGGGTGAGACCTCATCTTGATAGTAAATTTTAAAAAGTTAACCAGTCCTGGTGGCACATACTGTAATCCCAGCTACTTGGAAGGCTGAGGCAGGAGATTCACTTGAGCCCAGCAGGTTGAGTCTTCGGTAGCCGTGATCATGCCACTGCACTCTAACGTGGGTGACAGAGTGAGACTCCAACTCAAAAAAATAAAAAAATTAACTTACTTAAAATTAAATAATATAAAAAACGTCAATTTCTCAGTCACAACAGCTACATTTTGAGTCCTCAGTAGCCACATGTGGCTAGTGACTGCTTTGTTGAATTGCTTAAATATAAGACATTTCTATCATCACAGAAAATTTTACTGGACAGTGCTGGTAAGCCATCTAGGACAGTGGACAACACTTTTTTTTTTTAAGTTGGAGTCTCAATCCGTTGCCCAGGCTGGAGTGCAATGGCATACTCACAGTCACCTCAGCGTTGACCAACTGGGCTCCAGCGATCCTTCCACCTCAGCCTTCCAAGTAGCAGGAACTACAGGCGTCCACTACCACACCCAGCTAATTTTTTATTTATTGTAGAGATGAGGTCTTGCCAAGTTTTCCGGGCTGATCTCAAACCCGCAGGCTCAGGTAATCCACTTGCCCTGACCTCTCAAAATGCTGGGATTACAGACTAAGTCACCGAGTCAGGTCAGGCAACACATTTTAGAGTTGAGTAAATCCTAAGTATATTCATTATGTCATTAGGTATATTCATTATATCATTAGGTTTTATATATATATATAAGATATATATATATCTTCACCTGTTGAACCAACTCTTTATTAAATGCTTCTACTGCTTTTGCTCTATTAAAACAAAATAATGTACTGGCTTGGTTTTCATGTACTATTTGCTCCACAGATGCATACTTGTTCAACAGATGTGTGAGTGCCCACCCTGTGCTTGGGGTTGAAGGAAATGGTAGACAGGGGCATGAAAAGAAAGATCAGAAAAGATCCCTTATAGATCAAGTAGGAATTGGAAAAAAAAAAAAAAATCCCACCTCCCAGGAAGATAAACCCTGTATAGGTGAAGGAAAACCAGGTACTTGAGGTCTTTGAATTCCCAGAGGGAGAAGGGATTCTTTTTTTACATTTATTTATTTATTTATTTATTTTTGAGTTGGTGTCTCACTCTGTCACCCAGGCTGGAGGGCAGTGGCATGCTCCTGGCCACCACAGCCTCAACCTGCTGGGCTCAGGTGATCCTTCCACTTTAGCCTTCCAAACAGCTGGAACTACAGGCATGCACCACCATGCCAAGCTGATTTTTTTTAAAAATTTTGTACTGTTGCGGGCTTGCCAAGTTGCCTAGGCTGGTCTCGAACCTGCAGCCTCAGGAATCCTCTCACCTCAGCCTCCCAAAGTGCTGGGATTATGGGTATGAGCCACTGTGCCTGGCCAAGAAGGGAGTGATTCTAATGGGGATGTGAGTGGGGTGAGTTTGGACGAGATAGTTGGCCAGACATAAACTTGACTGAGTCAATTCTGTATGTCACAGTTTACAAAGTACCCTGCACACATGTCATTGTGTCCATCCTTACATAGACTGGGGAGATGCAGGGCTGGCCAGAGCCCTCACAATGACCTGAGTGGAGCCAGGAGCCAGACCTAATGCTGATCTCCTTGGACACCCTACTCCCTTCAGGGCTGAAGCCTTTCTTTGCAGGTTGCTGGCTTCAGGGTGACCAGTTCCTCAAAGAAGCCCCCTCCCTTCCCATCTCCATTGCTTTTGTAGCAAAGATCACCACCTGATCGCCATTGCTTGTAGGCCTACCAGGATGGAGGGGCATGCTGAAATGGAGATGCTGAGGACACTGAAGGGGGCCTCCACAGGGGAGGTCAGTGTGCACCTGGTGGCCAGAGACAGCCCAGGTTCCGGTCCTCACCTGCCTGCTACTGCCTTTATCATTCCAGGTGGGTCAAGCCAGGGGTCTGGGGAGGAGGAGCATCGCTATTTCTGCTCGAGCACATGTGGATTCTGGAGAGGCGATGACAGTTTCTGCTTTTCTATACCTGTCTTCCTTCACCTGCCTACATGCACATGGCAGAATTGAGGCAGGGCCACTGGGCTCACCTGTGCCTATCTGTATCTGTTCACAGCCAGCTCAGCCAGCCTCGGCCTGTCCAGCAGTGCCCTGGATGTGTCCTGCTTTCCCCGGGAGCCAATCCACGTGGGCGCTCCGGAGCAGGTGGTTGGCAGCGAACCAGTTACCGCCACGGTTCTGCCGCAGCTCAGCGCTGGGCCATCGGCCAGCTCCAGCGCCAGCACAGTACGGCTTCTGGAGTGGACAGAGGCCGAGGCCCCGCCCCCTGGGAGTGGCCTGCGGGTCAGTGTCTGTGGGGATTGGCTAAGCTCGCTAAACCTCAGCTGTGGGGCGGGGCCTGCGGGTCCCTAGGCCGGACCAAAGGCGGAAGAGGGGGGCAGCTGGCTGAGATGATGGATCCTGGGGGCGGGGCTTCGAGTGAGGTGCTCTAGGGGCGCGGCTTGGGTCGAAGCATCCCCTAGGCCCTAGGGACTATGGGCCGTGGCTTGGAGTGAGGCACCCTGGGACTGGAGCTGCTGGTGCCTGTGGGCGTGGCTTCGAGTGAGGCAATCTGGGACTGGACCGCTGGCGCCTGGGGGCATGGTCTGGGGGCTCTGGGGTTGTGGCCTGGAGTGAGGCACCCAGGGGCGGAGTCGTAAGGCCTGCTGGGGGCGGGAGCTGGCATGAGGCGGCGACGGGGCGACGGCGCCGTCTCCGAGGTGGGTCAAGGGACCGTGAGTGAGTCGCGATCCTCAGACCCTCCCGCGCTCCAGTTCCGGATAAGCGAGTACACGCCGCTGAACATGGCGGGAATGGAGCAGCCCGCGAGCCCGGAGCTGCGGCGCGAAGGCGTGTCAGAATACGAAGATGGCGGGGCCCCGTCGGGAGATGGCGATGTGGGCACCCAGCAGCCCGGTAGGAGCCCCGCTCCCTGGGCCCTGAGCTGGGGCCCTGCATGGGTGGGGCGAGGCCTGAGCTCCCCGAGGAGCCTCAGTTGAGGCGTGGATGGGGTGGTTTCTGCAGGTATGCCCAGGGGTGGGTCCTGAGGTGGAGAAGGCTGGGGGAGGCTGGCCAGTACAGAGGTGGACTAAGGTGGAAACAGGGCCTGAGGGGTGTGGGCGGAGCCTGAGTGTGGCTGTGATGGAGTGGGAGGCCTGAGGCCCATTTGGCCCCTGCAGAGGACCTCCCCCAGAATCCTCCAGAAGATCCCTCTCAGGATCCCCCAGAGGATGATGCCACCTGTCAGTGCCAGGCGTGCGGGCCTCAGCAAGCCGCTGGTCCAGATCTTGGTTCCTCTAATGATGGCTGCCCTCAGCTGTTCCAGGAGCGGTAAGGGGAGGAGGTCGTAGCCCTACTTGCTCTGCCTTCAGTCCCCAAACCCCCATTCCTGTTCAGGGCTTAGCAGAGGGGCTGGGTGATGCAGATTGGGTGGTTCTTTCCCTAAGGCTGCCCCTTCCTCAGGTCAGTCATAGTGGAGAATTCCTCAGGCTGCGCCAGCACTTCTGAGCTTAAACCCATGAAGAAGAGGAAGCGCAGAGAGTACCAAAGCCCATCAGAGGAGGAGTCGGAGCCAGAGGCCATGGTAGGAAGAGGGAAGTGGGGAGGGAAGGGGGAAGCCAGGGCCTGTGCCTCAATTCTCACTGTCCCCTATATTTATCCAGGCCGTGGGGCTGGGCCAGAGAAGACCCTTATGACAACTCACTCATATTTTGGGGTCCCATCCTAAGTCAGGTCCAGTGCCTGGTTGGAGGGAAGTGAATTAATAACTCTCCTGTTTTTCCAGAGCTCCCATCTCAGTCTAGTGTCAGGGTTAAGACACAGTCATGTGAACCCAAAGTATATGTGCAAGCAGGTAGAAAACTCTATTCTGGAGGCCCAAAGCTAGATCAGAAGCCAGGGAGCACAGGGCTGTACCTGCAGAAGCTAGAAGAATCAGAGAACAAATATTCTACTCAACATGTAAAATCAGCCAGAGCAGGTTTTTGAGTGCTTGGTTTCTGCCTGGTTGGAGGAGAGTTGAAGTGAGGCTGTGTAAGTAGGGTGTGTGTGTACTCATGTGAGTCTGTGCCTAAGTGGTACAGAACTGTCTGCTGGAGCTGTATTCCTGCTAGTGGCCTAGAAGAAATCCTACCTGTTTGGGGCAGGACACTACATGGTCAGAGAGCTAGGTAGGGGCCGGCATCAGAGGCTGGGGCTTTACACCAACCCAACAGGAAACTGGAATCAGGCTTGCCTTCTGCAGGAGAAGCAAGAAGAAGGAAAGGATCCAGAGGAACCGCCCACTGCTAGCACCCCTGAGAGTGAGGAGTGGAGCAGCAGCCAGCCTGGTATGGTGGCCTGTGTGTGTATATATTTGTGTGAGGTGTGTATATACCTTTGGAGGTGTGAGGCTGGGAGTATGGGTTATGATTGTGATTGTATGTTGTACATATATAGATGAGCATGGGTTAAAGTGTGTGGAAAAGACAGTGGGAGACTGTTTCTAGTTTGTGCATTAGTATATTTGTGTTCTTGGGGGTTATATCATATGTTTGTTTATCTTCTATTATCCAGTCATGAGTAGGCCCCATTGCCAGGGAGGTCTTGGCTCAGTATCTAAAGACTTAAGCAGCTTGCAAGCCCACATTGGTCATTAGTCTGACTTTCCTATTTGGGACCCCATTTTTACTCTTTGATTCTAAGAAAAATAGAGCAGAGTTCATGTATAGTCAGCTCCAGTTCTCAGACCTTCTCTATTACCATCTCCATATTCCCATGTGACAACTGTCAACTGTAGCTAAGTAGCATTTATCACACTATAGTCTCCTAAATACTGTGTAGCAATTTGTTTAATTTCTCTCTTCCTCTTTTATTACTTAGACTCCACCAACATGGGCGTAAATCTGTTTTTCTTTTTCTTTCTTTCTTTCTTTCTCTCTTTCTTTCTTTCTTTCTTTCTTTCTTTCTTTCTTTCTTTCTCTCTCTCTCTCTTTCTCTCTCTCTCTCTGTCTCTCTCTCTTTCTTTCTGTCTCTCCCCTTCTCCCCTTCCTTCCTTCCTTCCTTCTTTCTTCTTTCTATCTTGCTTTTTGCTCAGGCTGGAGTGTAATGGCTATTCAGAGGTACAGTCATAGCTTACTGCAGCCTTGAACTCCTGGGGCTTAAACATTCCTCCTGCCTCAGTCCCCTGAGTAGGTGGGACTATAGGCATGTGCCACCATGCTTCGGTCCTGAATCTGTCTTACTACTCTATCCCAGGTACTTAGCTTAAAGTCTGGTGTGGAATAGGGTCTCAATTTTTGTTCGGTAGGTAAATGTATAGTTGCCTGAGTCACAGTCTTTACCATTCCAGAGAGAACCAGAAGGGTGAATTCATTTCTTTTTTTTTTTTTTTGAGTTGGAGTCTCACTCTGTTGCCCAGATTGGAGTGCAGTGGCCGTTCCCGGCCACCACAGCCTCGACCTGCTGGGCTCCGGCGATCCTTCCGCCTCAGCCTTCTGAGTCACCAGAATTACAGGCATGCGCAACCATACCCGGTTGATTTTTTTGATTGATTGTAAAGATGAGGTCTCGCCAAGTTGCCCAGGTGAGTCTCAAACTCCCGGGCTCAGGCAATCCACTCACGTCAGTCTCCCAAAGCACAGGATTACAGACTGAGCCACCAAGCCTGGCTGTGAATTCATTTCTTAAGACATCGTCCTGCCTTGATGGACCCAATACCAGCTGGAAAAGTCCAATCTGTATCCTGGGTTCTGAACTTTATAGTGTCTCTTCCAACTTCTGCCCATTATAGTCAAACCGAAGTTTCACTGTTTTGTCTCATCCAAGGCAGTCACATGAGAAGGCAGAGGCTTAAATCTCTTTGGTTTATGGCCTCCTAAGACTTATGCAGAGTAAAGAAACAGTGTTTAACTACTCTTGACTCAGCTGCTCTATCTTATTTAAGGACATAAATTCATAAATTGACATTATTTTAGCTGGGTCTGGTTGATCAATACAGAGTTATCTTTTGATTCATACCAGTCACCATCTTAACTGTGAACATTATTAATGTGACATTAGTTTCTTGGTATTTTTCCCTCATTTCTTTTTTCCTTTTTCTTTTTTCAAGGAAAGAAACTCTGTATCAGTATATAGACATTTGCATTTATGACTATAATATTTTCTGCTTATTCTCTGTATCATCTGACAAAAGAATCTGGGGGTAGGAAAGAGGGTCAGGATTGCTTGAGTTTCTTGTATGTGGGAAAATCTATGTTTTTTGTTTTTTGAGTTGGAGGGAGTCTCACTTTGTCTCCCAGGCTGGAGTACAGAGGCACGATCACACTCACCATAGTCTTGACCTCCTGAGCTCAGGCTGTCCTACCATCTCAGCCTCTCAAGTAGCTGTGACTACAGGTACACACCACCTCACCCATCTAATTTTTTGTTTATTTATTTATTTAGAGTTGGAGTCTCACTCTGTTTCCCAGGCTGGAGTGCAGTAGCATGCTCATGGCCACTGTAGCCTTGACCTGCTGGGCTCAGGTGATTCTTCCGCCTCAACCTTCCAATTTTTTTTTTTTTTTTTGAGTTGGAGTCCCACTCTGTCGCCCAGACTGGAGTGCAGTGGCCGCTCCTGGTCACCACAGTGTTGCCTGCTGGGCTCTGGCAGTCCTTCCGCCTCAGCCTTCCAAGTAGCTGGAACTACAGGTGCGCTACCATGCCTGGCTAATTTTTGATTTATTGTAGAAATGAGATCTTGCCAAGTTGCCCAGGAGGGTCTCGAACCCGCGGGCTCAGTCAATCCACTCACCTCAGCCTCCCAAAGGCACGGGATTACAGGCTGAGCCAACGAGCCCGGCTCCAAATTTATTTTTAATTTTTAAATTTTCTTTTTTTTTTTTTTTTTTGAGTTGGAGTCTCACTCTGTCACCCAGGCTGAAGTGCAGTGGCATGCTCATAGCTGCCACACCCTTGACCTGCTGGGCTCAGGTGATCCTTCTGCCTCAGCCTTTACAGGCTGAGCCACTGAGCCTGGCTCTAATTTTTTTTTTTTACTTCTTGTAGAGATGAGGTTTCACCAAATTGCCTAAGTTGGTCTCGAACCTGTGGTCTTGGCCTCCCAAAGTGCTGGGATTATAGGCATGAGCTACCACACTTGGCCTTTTTATTTTTCATTTATTTATTTTTAAAAATTTTTTGAAAGCAGGATTTATTGAGAGGACAGAAAAGCTCCCACAGTGGGAGGGGACCTGAAGGGGTTGCCCTCTTTTTATTTTTTTTAGAGATGAGGTCTCGCTGTGTTGCCTAGGCTGGTCTTGAATTCCTAGGCTCATGGAGTCCTCCCAAAGTGCTGGGATTGTAGGGATGAGCCACCACACCCAGCCAGAATCTATGTTTTATCTACACTCTACTTGGCAGTTTGATGTCCAGCTATTTGATTCATGTCCTACAGACCTGACATATCTAGTGCTGATGGAGTGTTCTAGTAGTTTGAGTTAGAAATGTTTAACCCTGAATTGTACCCCACATTTTTAAAATAAAAAAACAAGTTAGAAATGTGTGGCTCATGTATACATGAACCTTCTCTCTCATAGATCTCCTTCACCTTTTCAAGACCATTTTGTGTAAATGATCATTTTCTGATACACCATTGTAAGTCTTTGCAATTTATTTAGTCATTAATAGCTATTCTGATTGCATTAACAATTATAGTAGTCCCCCCTTATCTACAGGGGATGTGTTCCAAGATCCCAACCCTGCCCCCACCAGTGGATGCCTGAAACTGTGGTTAGTACTGAACCCTTTATATACTTTGTTTTTCCCTATACATTCATACCTGTGATAAAGGTATGATAAAGAATGTGCTGGACAAAGGGATGATTCTTTCCTGGGTGGGACGGAACAGGATGGTGTGAGATTTTGTTATGCTGCTCAGAAGGGTATGAAATTAAAACCTATGAATTGTTTATTTCTGGAATTTTCCATTTAATATTTTCAGACTGTGGCTGATCACAGATAACTAAAACCATGGAAAGAGAAACCTTGGATAAGCAGGGATTACTGTACTGATCTTCTCATGCCATCTCTTATTCTGCCCACATCCAGATTAAGTATCCATAGTGATGCTTTTCAAGATCAACTTTTCAGATTCAGACCAATCCTACAAGAATCCTGTTCTATTTAGTTGTCTAAAATAACACTGCAGTTACATTAGACAAACATAAGTAGGTTATTTATCCTCTTACTATTCTTTATATAATCTGGATGTAAGTCTTTTATCAGATGTATATACAAACATTTTCTTCTGATCTGTCTTGATTTTTCTTTTCTAAATGGTGTCTTTTAAGGAGCAGAAATTTTTCATTTTGATGATGTCTGATTTATCATTTTTTAATGGTTATTGCTTTATACATACATTTTAATAATGTATAGGTTCCTAATGGCTTTATTATGATATAATCTACATACCAAACAATTCATCCATCGAAGTGTACAATTCAGTGGTTTTTTTAGTATATTCACAGCGATGTGTAATCATCACCACAATCAGTTTTAACACATTTTTATCACCCCCCAAAGGAAACTTCATGTCCATTAGCATCATCTCCCCAACCCACTGCAGCCCTAGGCAACCACCAATCTTCTATTGTATACTAGATTTGCCTATTTTGGACATTTCATATAAATGGAATCATATATGTGGCTCTTTGTGACTATGTTTTACTTAGCACAATTATTTAAAGGTTTACATGTTTAGCATGTATTACTTCATTCCTTTTTATTGCTGAATAATATCGTATGGGTACACCACACTTTGTTTCTGTTTCTCTGCTCATCAAGTGATGGATATATGTATTGTTTCTACTTTTGGGCTACTTTGAATAATTCTTTTTTTTTTTTTTGAGTTGGAGTCTTACTCTGTTGCCCAGTCTGGAGTGCAGTGGCATGCTCATGGCCACCCCAGCATCGACCTGCTGGGCTCTGGCAATCCTTCCACCTCAGCCTTCCACGTAGCCAGAACTACAGGCACGTGCTACCACACCCAGCTAATTTTTTAATTTATTGTAGAGATGCAGTCTCACCAAGTTGCCCAGGCTGGTCTCAAACCCGTGGGCTCAGGCAATCCACTTACCTCGGCCTCCCAAAGTGTTGGGATTATAGGCTGAGCCACTGAGCCCGGCCTGAATAATTCTTGTAGGAACCTTTGCATACAAGTTTTTGTGTTGACCTGTTTTCATTTATCTTGACTATATATAGGACTGGAATTGCTTGGTCATTTGGTGACTCTGTGCTTAACCTTTTAAGAAACTGCCGGCTGTTTTTCAAAGTGAATGCACCAGTGTACATTCACACTGGCAGTATATGA